ACCAACACCAGGGGAATCCACAGCAGGTTCCCCCGGTGAATCAGGTCCTGGGGAACAACCCCATACCCCAGAATCATGGAGTTCATCATCCACCGCAGCCGGGTCCCACCTTGGAGTACTACTACACTCCGCGGATTGCTGACATCCGCCCGGTCATCCTCTACCCGCCTATCCCAGCAAACAACTTCGAGATCAAGCCATGCTGGATTCAGCTCATTACATCTTCCATCCAGTTCCATGGCTTGAAGGATGAGGAGGCCAGGGTACATCTCTCCCGTTTTCTGCAGCTGACAAACGGGTTCAAGCTGAATGGTGTCCCGGATGATGCGATCCGCCTTCATCTCTTCCCCCATTCTCTGGCGGGGAATGCCAAGAGGTGGTTGGAGACCCAGCCCCCATTGTCCATCACCTCTTGGGACGATCTGGCTGACAAGTTCGTGCACAGGTACTATCCGGCATCGAAGACTACAGAGATTCAGCGGGAGATCACTCACTTCCGCCAGGAGCCAGATGAGTCACTTCGTGATGCATGGGAGTGGTACATGGGATATTTCTGGCAGTGTCCCCACCATGGCTTCAGTGATGCATTCACAGTGGGGAACTTCTACAACGCTCTCTCTCTAGATAGCCAGAGGGTGATTGAGTCTTTATGCCCAGGAGGGGATGTTCTCACCAAGACTCCACCAGAGCTGAATCAGATGATTAATACATTGGCTGCCAGAGATCATTCCTGGGGGCAGAGTAGCAGAGGCAGACATTCCAGGGACCGTGGTGTGCACGCCATGGAGTCCAGATCCGGACTCGAGCAGCAGGTAGCTGAGCTAGTGCAGACATTGAAGCAGCCCAACAGTCTGATTCCGGGCAGAGGTTTGGCTACACCTCCAGTAGCTCAATGTCAGTGGTGTGAGAGCTCCAATCACCTAGTGGAGGACTGCCAGGCTATGAGGGAGTCTACCACACCCCAGGAGCAGTTGGCATTCATTGCCAATGCGCGGCGCCTCGATCCATACAGTAGCACATATAATGAGGGGTGGCGCCAGCATCCCAATTTCGCCTGGAGCAGCAACACCACTAAACCACCTGGTTTCCCAGCACCAGCAGGTGGTTTTCAGCAGAGGCAGCCCTACCAGGCTCGACAGGGGCCAGTTCCACAGCAGCCATTCCAGCAGCCCCAGCGCTAGTTTGCCGAGCCAGCAGCAGCTCCAGCCCCAGATGACAGGATGACGAAGCTGGAAAACATTCTAGCTTCATTCATGACGAGCACTCAGGCGACTATCACGAGGTTGGACCAGAGCGTAGCCTCACTGGAGGCAGGTCAGAGGAACCAGGGTGCCATTTTGCAGGATTTGCAGACCCAGGTGGGCATCTTGGCCCGCCAGAGCACCACCAGGGCACCGGGGACTTTGCCTGCCACCACTGTTCCGAACCCTCGAGATCCTCATCAGCATCAGCAGCTGGATGCCATTTTTACCAGGAGCGGTAAGGTCATATCTGCTGATCCTGTCCCGGCCAGACAGGAGGAACCACTACCTGCTTCAGCACTTCCAGCCACGATGCAGAAGTGCGGGTGGAGAAGGAAGCCCCTGCTCCCAAGCCACAACCAGTGGTTAAGGAGCATGTACCCCCGCTTCCCTTCCCCACTCGCCTACACAAGGACAAGCTGGAGACTGAGTTTGCCAAGTTCATGGCAATGTTGAAGCAGCTCAACATCAGCATACCGTTCATGGAGGCACTGTCGAAGATGCCCAAGTATGCCAAGTTCATGAAAGATATCTGCACCAACAAGAAGAAACTTGGGGATCTCTCGACAGTGATGCTGAGCGAGGAGTGTTCTGCTATCCTGCAGAACAAGCTGCCCGAGAAGCGCAAGGATCCAGGGAGTTTTACTATCCCTCTTACTATTGGCAGCATGCATGTAGGAAAGTCCTTGGCGGACCTAGGCGCTAGCATTAACGTCATGCCATATAAGTTGTATGAAATGCTAGACCTAGGTGAACTTAGTCCTACTAGGATGAGCATTCAATTAGCTGATCGTTCTATTGTGCATCCTAGGGGAATCATAGAGGATCTGCTTGTTCATGTTGGTGCATTCACATATCCTGTTAATTTTGTTATTCTGGATGTAAATGAGGATGTGGATGTGCCTTTGATTCTAGGTAGGCCATTTCTTGCCACCGCCAAGGCACTTATTGATGTGCATGATGGTAAACTGATGCTGCGTGCTGGGGATGAACAGGCTACTTTTTCTGTGACTGAGTTTGATCACTGTGCTATGATTGATGTCACGCCTGTGCATGCTATGTCTGATCAGGTACACGAGCCTGTCGTGTATCCTTCTGCACCTCCTATTTTGCAGGACCCTCCTATCATTCCTTCGTCGCCACTCCATCCAGCCTCGCCTCCGAACAAAAAGCTCAAGGAGGAGTGGCGGCCGAAGCAGCAGGTTGCTAAGCCTGCACGAAAGAAGAGTGGAGACCACTATGAGCTGGTCCCACCCCCTGCACCACGACCACCCTGGCCGTCTGGGTACTCACTCGCCTGCATCTTGCTAGATGGGCAGGTCGAGCTGACTGATGAGGGTGGTCGCATCCGTCGGGTGCATGGCCACAACCTCAAGCTGTACCTCAAGAGCGACGTGGATCCGCTCTTGGAGGCACCTGTTCCTGCACCGCCCTGAGTATCCACCATGGGCGTCCAGCTAATACGACGGTAAAGAAGCGCTTGTGGGGAGGCAACCCCACCACGGTTTGATTTTCTTTCTTGTGTTTTGAGTCGGATTGTAACCCGGTTTGGGTTTGGTTTGTTTTCTTTTGGTTTGGATGATATTTTATTGGGCTGACCATTGAACCTAACATATTGTGTTTGAGCTCTTCTGTTCCCCTTTGGCTGTGCTTGCCCCGACTGGCCCGTTTCCAGTCTCCTGCAGTCCGTGCATACCGGTAACATCGTTCCCTTTTCCTTCCCTCTTCTCCATTGAGGGCAATGTCGAGCTTAAGTGTGGGGGGGATGTTTATCTTTAACTGCATTAGATCTGTTTGTGTGCTTGGAGCCTAGTCCACTGTCCAAATTTTTAAATTTGAGGGCTCCAAGTACGTGTTTCCATGCAATTGCCTGCTCAGTATGCTTTGAATTGACAGTCTTTATAGTAATATGCAACCTAGGGAGGTAGTGTAGCACTATGGAGGATGTTGATGCATTTAAGAAGTCTCGTTTCTTCTTCATATTGTGTTGGTTGATTGAGTGAATTAGTGATCTTAGGACCCTTGAATTGTGTGGTGTTGTGGATTCTCTGCCTGTCATGGACTCTTGTATCATGTTTTGAGTTTAACAGGTGCTCGAAAATGTGCTTCAAAATAACGTCTCCCGTGCGAATAGGGCGAAAGTGTGTAAGGGGAGACGGGAATTCGTTCCCAATTTCCACCTACTACCTCCAGCCCCCTTACATGTTTTTCCCCCGCACGAGGCTCGAGACATCCGCTCCTGGCATGGCCGGTAAGAGCAGGTTGGGACCCTTGAAAAGAAAAGAAAAGAAAAATATCAGAAAACAAGCAAAACAGAAAGAAAAGGGGTTCCAACCATCCTTAAGCAAAAAATAGAGCACCTTGAAAAATGTGAGTCCATGATCTGTTGTTTTTGAGAATCTCTTCATCCACAATTCATTTGTCCTCTGTTCACTGTTTGCCATGATGCCGACTCGATAAGAAGCTTTGAGATGACTTGTGCGTCGGTTGACCTCGTAAGCTGCTAAATGACCTAGGAAGTCCTCTACCTACGATCTAGGTTGTTTGTTGCTATAGAGGTCTGGAAAGTTGCATTGGTTTTATTTAGGTTTGCTTGAGGACAAGCAAACGGTTAAGTGTGGGGGAGTTTGATAGACCGTTAGTTACACATGTTTTCACCCCTGTTCTTACACCGTTGGAGATGTGGTTTCTCGTGTTTTAGACCGATTTCACGCTAGGTTGTGCTTGTTTGTGATATTTCAGGTCCTGGCAAGTGAATGAAGGTTTAGGAGCGAGTTCGGGGTTGATTGGGTGAAGATCGGGCGCGAGACAAGTCACAAAGGAGGTCACACGGGCTGCCCTGATGTTCACACGGCCGTGTGAAGTAATGGCCTGGCCGTGCGAGTTTTGCCGAGAGCACACACGGGCAGAGCAGAGGATCGACACGGCCGTGCAAGTGGCCGGGTTGGCCGTGCCACATTATGCGAGAGCAAACACGGGCAAGAGGGGATGTCCACACGGCCGTGCCATTCTGGCCGTGCAAAGAGCCTGAAATTCAACTAAGTGATACGATGCGTTTTGACTCACACGGGCAACTGGGTGAGCTACACGGCCGTGCCACCCTGGCCGTGTGAGTCGGGATTTTCTCCTTTTAAGCAGAATTTCAGCCACAATTCGAGAGGATTCGAGTTTTTGAGAGAAAGAATGATTTCTAGAGAGAGAAAGTGACGAGCAAGAGTTCCCAAGTGCCCTAGATTGATCTTCAACACCATTGGAGGCCAGCTTGAGCTTGGAGAAGTGCCAATCAACGTCCAGAAGCAGGAATCCATCCTTCGCAGTATGAATTCCGTGTCTGATTCTGCTTTTGCTTTTTTCTCTATGGAGTAGTTCTCCCATTCATCTGGGTATGGAGAACCCTAGATTTGTATGTTAGGCTTTGATTGTATGAACCCAAGTACTGATTCTGTGATTGATTATATTCGATTGTGGTTTTAATGATTGAATGACTTGAATCCTGATCAAATTCCTGTTGTTTCTGCTTTAACCTAGAATGAGAATATCTGCCTAGGTTAATAGAGTATCCTTGATTGAAGGTAGGGAGTTGGTGACTTTAGTCGAGGAACCAACTCACTATTCTGTACCGGATTTACTCCGGTAGTGGACGTTTTGTTCTTAGGGCCTCAATCTGTCTACTCCGGTGGAGGTTAGTCGCCCGCTAGAGATTCAGATTGAGAGGGTCTGAAGACCTTTAGTCGAGACTTCAGGCTGTTTAAGAACCTTCCGCAGTATAACTTTCATAGAAACTGAACTTGGTAATTACAATCCGGCTTAACTGCAGTCTAGGGGGAACCATATCCGGGTGACCTCTTTAACTTGAATACAACCAGTTTACTTGATTTGTTAGTTTGTTAGTTAGACTTGCATTCCAGTTTCATTGCTAGATAACAAGAATTCACTGAGTAGTCATCAGATCTAGGACACGGGTTGATAATTAAACCCAAACCTGCTATACTACGCTTTAGGAAGTGGTTTCACTTGGCCAAATCCTGGAGTGACAGTAGAGTCGAGTCACTACTATAAGTATTGGTTTGGAGGAATAAGAGAAGTACAAGAAGAAAACCCCTAAACTCCAGTCTACTTTTACTTTGTTGCGAATTACGCGATGGACGAACCGATCGTCCATCAATTGATATCAGAGCCTGGTTCGACGGAACCGAGCTCCTACCAGCTCCCAGGGACACGCAGCGAAGCGGATTCCGAGGAGACGAACAACGATGGCAGCCCGCACATTGGCTCCGGCGAGCAAGAGGAATCGCAGGACCCGGATCCCGATCCGACGGACGGCGAGGTCTCCCTGTTCGCACTTACCGGTGTCTCTCACCCAGCAACCTTACGATTTTCCGTTCAGCTGCAACAGGAGACGATGGTGGCGCTAGTCGACAGCGGATCATCGCATAATTTCGTCAACCGCGACACGGCCAAGGAATTGCTGCTGACTCCTACTCCCATACCTCCGTTTTCAGTCAAGGTCGCGAATGGCGATGTGTTGTGCTGCGAGCACTGCTATGAGGATGTCGAGCTGCGCATACAAGGAGAGCTGATGCGCGTGGACTTGTATGAGTTGCCCATCAAAGGTCTCGACGTGGTGCTGGGCATTCACTGGTTACGACAGCTAGGGCCGGTCACCATCGACTGGAACCGTTTGACGCTCAAGTTCATGGACGACAATGACCGCTGGGTTGAACTTCAGGGGATCCGGAAGACCATCGTGAAGGACGACCACCTCCATCAGCTGCGACGACGAGAGGTAGCATTCTGGCCTCTCTGCGTTCCCGACCAAGGGGTGGCATCAACGGAATCTCCGGCCGAATTGCAAGAGCTTCTAGGGAGGTACGCCGATTTATTCGAAAGCCCGACGCAATTACCTCCCCATCGAATTGCTGACCATCGCATTCCACTGAAAGAAGGGACGGACGAAATCAACATGCGGCCATACCGCTACGCCCACTACCAGAAGGAGGAAATAGAACGTCAAGTGGGAGACATGCTGCGGACCGGGCTTATTCAGCCGAGTTCGAGCCCCATCTCATCACCCGTCCTTCTCGTCAAGAAAAAGGATGGTACTTGGCGGTTTTGCACTGATTTTCGAGCTCTAAACCAAGCCACCATCAAGGACCGGTTTCCCATTCCTACGGTAGACGACATGCTGGACGAGCTCCACGACGCAAGGTACTTAACGAAGCTTGATTTACGTGCGGGATACCATCAGATACGTATGAGTAAGGAGGACATTCCTAAGACGGCTTTCCAAACCCACAGCGGCCATTATGAGTATGTAGTCATGCCCTTTGGATTGTGCAATGCTCCGGCAACCTTCCAAGCTGCTATGAACGACATCTTTCGACATCTCCTACGTAAGTCGGTCCTGGTTTTTTTTTACGATATCTTAATTTATAGCCGAGATTGGGAAACTCACTTGCAGCACCTTCAAGAGGTTTTCGGCATCTTGCGAAGCCACCAGTACTACCTCAACCACGCCAAATGCGTGTTCGGTCGTCAGAGAGTCGAGTACTTGGGTCACATCATCACGCCCGAGCGAGTGCAGGTGGATAATTCAAAAATTCAGGCTATGGTTGACGGGCCGAGCCCACGTAACGTCTCGGAGCTACGGGGGTTTTTGGGGCTGACTGGATACTACCGCAAATTCGTCCAAAATTACAGCTCGATTGCTCGACCATCGACTCTGCTGCTGAAGAAAGGGGGCTTCGACTGGACAGAAGCAGCCGAGCAGGCTTTCATCCGCCTGAAACGCGCCATGACTTCGACACCCACGCTCGCAATGCCTGATTTCACAAAACCCTTTACCATTGAAGCTGACGCGTCAAGATAGGGCATTGGTGCGGTTCTCTCTCAAAGCGCGCTTCCGGTTGCTTACACGAATCGCACCTTGGGGCCCGCGAAGATAGGCTGGTCAACTTATCAGAAGGAAATGTACGCCATCGTTATGGCCGTGCAAACATGGCGACCGTACCTCCTGGGGCAGACATTCCATATTCACACCAATCAACAGAGTTTGCGTCATATGCTCGAACAACGAGTTTCTACGCCCGACCAGCATAAGTGGATGGTAAAATTAATGGTGTATGATTTCAAGGTTCACTACAAACCCGACATCACTAATAAGGCCGCGAATGGACTTTCACAGCGGCGACATGAGGAATCCTTGTACTCCTTGACTGCGGCCGAGTTCACCTTCTGGGATGAAGTACGCGAAGCTGTCACTAGTAATTCATATTTGCAGGCTATGCGTGACAAGGCATTATCGACCGATCCGGGTGACTACAAGTATCGACATGGCCTTGTGTTCTTCAAGGGTCGCATTGTTCTTCCACCGGGATCGTCACTTATCACGACTGTCCTCCATGCCCATCATGACTCGGTTCTGGGAGGTCATTCAGGGGTAGAGCGAACCCTGTGACGTATTAACGGGATTTACTATTGGCCATGGATGGTGTAGACCATTAAATACTACATCGGGGATTTTGATGTTTACCAGCGAGTGAAAACAGAAGGAGTGGTACCGGCGGGACTGCTGCAGCAGCTCCCGATTCCGCGCCAGATATGGGAGGAGATATCCATGGATTTCATCGAGGGTTTGCCGCAGGTGGGGGGTCGCTCGGTTCTCTTCGTCGTGGTGGATCGGCTGACTAAGTACGGGCATTTATGGCTCTCTCTCACCCGTATTCAGCTCGAACGGTGGCCGAGGCTTTCATTTCTGGAGTAGTGCGACACCATGGGATTCCAGTAACAATTGTTAGTGATCGAGACCGAGTATTTTTGAGCAAGTTCTGGCAGGGGCTGTTCGATCAAGTGGGCACGAAAATCTTGATGAGAACAGCCTATCACCCACAAACGGACGGTCAGACGGAGGTGGTCAATCGCTGTCTAGAGCAGTACTTGCGATGTTTCACTCAACAACATCCGCGAAGATGGGTTCAACTCCTTCCATGGGCTGAATTATGGTACAACTCAACATATCACCGTACGATTGGGACGACCCCATTCCAGGCGCTCTATGGACGACCCCCACCTTTTGTGGTTCCATATTCGGATGGGTCCTGTACAGTAGTTGGTGTTGATGAGCTTCTCAAGGAGCGGGATGAAGTTTTAGCTTGCCTTCGCCAGAACCTGGCTGCGGCAAACAACAAGGCGAAGCAGCTCGCTGATGCTAGTCGGCGGGACGTCAACTACGATGAAGGGGAATGGGTTCTTCTGAGACTTCACCCATACCGGCAGTCGACCGTGTTCCGCCAAGCTTCCCAAAAGCTTGCTGCTCGATATTTTGGCCATACCGTATCCTCAAGCGAGTTGGGGTCGTCGCCTACAGGTTGGAGTTGCCTTTATCGGCTCGCATTCACCCAGTCTTACAAGTTTCATTGTTGAAGAAATATGCAGGCAATGTCAACCCCCAGCTGGTACCGCCGCCGCTGGTGGGTGATGACGATGATCTCGAGGTCGTTCCGGTCCGAACACTTGACCATCGTTGGAGTCGCAAAGCAGGACGTGTCACGGAGGAGTGCTTAGTACAGTGGCGCCATTTACCACCAGAGGTGGCCACGTGGGAAGAAGTGCAAGCTGTTCGGGATCGGTTTCCATCTTTCGACCTTGAGGGCAAGGCCGAGCTTGAAGGGGGGGGGGGGGGCAATGACGCGTACGAAGCCATTCCGCGTCGATCCAACCGCCAACCCAAAGTATCTAGACTAATTATTAATTATTAATTATTATTCGGTTTTCCCTTTCCTTGTTGTTTAGGTTTTCCCTTTCGTATTATGCAAGTATGTAAGACTACTATAAGTATTGGTTTGGAGGAATAAGAGAAGTACAAGAAGAAAAACCCTAAACTCCAGTATACTTTTACTTTGTTGCGAATTACACGATGGACGAACCGATCGTCTATCAAAGAAACAAGGACTATGGGCTATTACATGGCTCCAGAGGCGGCAAATATTCAATCTCCCATCCTACATCCGCCCTTGCTGCCAACAATTTTGAAATCAAGCCCGCTCTCGTCACCATGATCCAGAACAACGCCTTGTTTCATGGGCTTGCCAATGAATCACCGCGGGAGCATGTTCAAAGGTTCCTTGAGCTTGCAGAAGCTTGAAGATAAATGGCGTCCCCGAGGAGGCATTGCAACTGAGGCTATTCCCATACTCTATTGCGGGGAAAGCGCTCTGATGGCTCAAAAACCGACCGGCTCGCTCGATCACCTCGTGGGATGATTTGCTCAACAAATTTATGACCTGATATTGTCCTCCTTCCAAGACAGCCAAGTGAAGAAAGAAGATTACCCACTTCGAGCAAGAGGAAGATGAGACGCTGAGGGATGCATGGGAAGATTCTCGGATTACTTCCTCCAATGCCCTTACCATGGATTTGAGGAGCAATTTCAAATAGAGACCTTCTATGGCGGTCTCATCAAGATGACAAGATTCTCATCGACTCTCTTTGACAAGGGAAGTTGATGAACATGACTCCACCTCATGTGACCGAGTTGCTCGAAGACATGGCTCTCAAGGGATACGATTGGGATTTGACGAGAAGTGGTAAGAGAAGCACCGAAAGAGGAGTGAAGTGTGGGAGAAAGTGATCCACTTGAAGCTAAGCTTGACAAGTTGATTGAGGTGATCCTTGAAGACAAGAAACAAGAGAAGAAAGCGTTGATGTCTTGTGATTGGTGTTCTAGCACTAATCATGAAATTGCGGATTGCCAAGCGATGAAGAAAGCAAGTACCCTCGAGTAACAAGTGAGTTTCATTGCCAACCCTAGAGGGAACAACCCTTAAAGCAACACCTACAACCCCAGGTGGCGCAATCATCCAAACTTCGATTGGTCTTCCTTTACCAATCCGAGACCCCCCGGTTTCCAAGGTCCAACGGGAAACTATCAACCTCGGCCAACTTTCATCCAACAAAGGCCTTAGTCCCAAAACTCGAACTTCCAACAACAATACCAATCACAAGGTGGTCAAGGGTTCCAACAACAACAACAACCCGACAAGTTTGCTAAGCTTGAAGATCTAGTGACCACCTTTGTGAGCACGAGCTCTCAGAATTTCGAGAAGATTGAGCAATTCATGGATGTGGCGACCTCAAAATTTACCTCGATCGAGACAGGAATCCAAATTCATCAAGCAAGTTATCAGACTTGGAGGTGCAAATTGGCAACCTTGCCGGTAGAGCTAGACATTGGTTACCGGTTAGTGGTTAAATGACCGGTTACAACCAAAATTGGCCGGTTATCCATTGACTTAAAACCGAGATAACCAAAAATTGGTTGGTATTCGGAGGGATGGCTGAGATGATTTTGGTCTTGGTGGCAGCTTGGTTAACCGAAAACCGAAGCCTTAAGTCCTCTTTCGGTCGGTGGTTGATAGATATGGGAGGTTGTTCGGTTTAACCGATAACCGCCAATTCGATTTTCGGTTATAATCGAACCGACCTAACTCCATCCCTACTTGTCGGGATTCTCACCGACAAACCAAGGGGAGATCTACCTTCCCAAACCATTGCAAATCCCAAAGACCAAAATGTCGGGGTGAATGCGATTCAATTGAGAAGCGGGAAGGTGACTCTGGAGGTTGTTGCCAAAGAAGTGATCGAGAAGGAACACTCTCGACCAGAGGATGGAGATGAAGAAATCCCGGGAGAAAAGAAAGGAGTGGCGAAGAAGGAATCACCAACACCACCTCCAGTGGTTGAGTACACGCCACCCTTTCCTTTCCCCACGATAGGGGTGAGCAACCGGTTCGATAAACCCGAATCGAAACCGAATTAAATCGAATCAAAATCGAATTAATGTTATTCGGTTCGGAATTCGGAAGGAAAATATGGATAGTTCGGAAACCAGGGTTCTTTCAACCGAACCGAATTTCCGACCGAAAAATCGAAATACTATAATTGCAAGCTCCAAATGGTGGATTTTTATGTTTGTAGTTGTTTTTAGACTTAAATATTTGAAATGTTTTATGACTTATGTGTTGAAAAGTTTGATTTTATCATTGATGATGCATATAATTGCATATTTATTATTTATATTAGGGGTGAAAAATAATTTAAAAGTGAGAATATACAAGTAGCTTCACAAATTCGGTATTGTGTGAAAAACCGAACCGATTTATAATTTGGTTTGAATTTGATTTGAGGTTTGGGAGAATTCGGGGACCCAGTATTCATAATTATGGTTCGGTCAAAACCGAACTGACCGATTGCCCACCCCTACCCCACGAGGGTGCACAAAGAAAGATTGGAGGCGGAATGTGGAGGTTTCATGGAGATGCTCAGAAAACTCCACCTCAACATTCCCTTCCTTGAAGCAATGGCCCACATGCCACGATATTCAAAATACCTAAAGGGGCTTCTCTCCAAGAAGCCGAAATTCCAAAACCTCGCCAATGTCACTCTAGACCCGCACGAATTTTGCCTTGAGATGCATATCAATGTGACTTTCCATAAGGTCACCCATTCTACCAATGCTTTTATTTCACTCCAAAACAAGTCTTGTTAGTTAATGCCAGTTTCTTACTCATTAACCATGATCCCTCTCGTGCTTTGTCGATGTGGGATTCGCATAAAGTGTTAACAATTTGACCCGAATTTGGATATTTAAATCGATTTGACAAAGCGAGAAATAAGCCCAGCCCATAGTAAAATCATTAGTCTTTGTAGTTCTCTTTTTTACCCCTTTTTATATAGAGGGAAACTACAGGCACATAATGTTGGATGTTGTGGTGACCTATGTTTAAGAAATTCTAACGTACCTGTTGATTGGACTGAAAATACCGAATATCATACGCAAATCGATAGACGATTTTAGCGATAAGAAACAACTAAATCACAATTTTAGTACAAAATATTACTAGGTGGAGATGCCGCGCTTTGTCGCGGGC